AAAAAAAAAAAAAAAAAAAAAAGAAAAAAGAAAAAAGAAAAGAAAAGGAACACCCAAAAAACCTATAACCTTCATTACAATGAATGAAATGCGGGAAACCCTCAGCAGAAAAATTATATACAAAAACAAAAAGGAACTTTACTGCAATTAAAAATGAACCATGTGATACATTAGTCAATACCATAAATTAAAAATCACATTTCCATAGCTTTCAGAAAAACACTGATCTAGTAAAACTGCTTAATCATACTTTCTATATACTTAACTTTTCCACACATTAATTTTCATTGAATTAGTGTAAAAATATCTTAAGCAATTTAACTAAACAGTATTTCACAAGCATGTTCAACAATCATATTGTACAATAGGACCTCTGTGTGTGCAGAAGGAAAAGGAATGTAGTAAGTTATTACCATGAAAAAGCTGGGGTCTTTCCAAACCAAGAAGTCAGGAGTATTGAGAGTAAACATTCAGTGTTGTACTAAAGAGTCAGACTCCATTTGGGATGTCTGACCACTAACACTTTACAGCTCTACACTCCCTCTTCCTATTCTGCCCATCTGAGCTGGTAACTGAGTGCTCTCTCCTTTGGCACCAGCTGGAAATTCAAACCACATGTGAGTAGCTCAGTCCCAAATTCAACCTTTAATAACAATCCAAGCCAGCCACTTTCCTTGATCTCTCAAGCCATATTTGGCACAGCATGGGAAGGAAACCCTGGTTTCCCCAGAAAGCTTCATTATGTAATAAACACTCATAAAACACTTCAGTGTATACCACCAGCATTCTTGACATCCAAACCAAACATTAGGTGGAGTTCAATTCACTTTCAATAGAGTGGACACAAGTTCAAATTACAAAAAAAATGTTATGGGTGTGAATATATCAAGTTTTTACTTTATCTACTAAAACAAAATTCCCCTTGTGTTTGAACAGTAACCTTTTCAAATTATGTCACTGAACACTCCAAGGACAAAAAAAAAAAAAAAAAAAAAAAGATGGTGTTATTTTTATCTTTTTTACTCACACTGTTTTATTTCGGAATAATTTTAATAGTCCTATATTTGTATTTCTCCTGCATATAAACCAAGGTGCATGCTACAGTCTTATTAGGCACACAAGAAAAACACAAGTAGTATAATAATACAGTGCTCATTCATCAAAGGCAATTTTAGAGTGTAAGAGCCTGAAGTTTTACCTCTATGAGATTTTCATTATACCCATGTTAAGTACTCTGAGCAGAGTGTGGAGAGAATAACAAGTGCAAAGTATAGGTTACCAAAATTGTATGCTGTTTGATACCACACTGTCTGGCTATGACAAGGGTGACTGCAAGGCTAAGGCTGATGTCGTGTATCCTGCTCACAGCATCAATTGTCTAGCTCTTAATCCTGCTCATGATGCCAATTGTAAAACTAGGCAACCACGCTAGTTGTCACAGCTCTTTTACCTGCCAGTAATCCTGCACTGACTGGGCCAATGATTGAGCTAGGGCTGGGTCTGGAACTCCCAGTCCCCTCAAGCCCATTCACAGGCTGGGTCACAAACCCTTCACATGCCAGGCTGGGTCACCAGACCCCTTCATGCAGGTCTATAAGCTAGGTAACCAGCTACATGGGTCTAGGAAGCTGCAGGTCTGGAAAAACATGGCCATGCAGGGCAGGCACCCGAGGCAGTAAAACACCAGCCAAAGTGGCGCCACTGTGCAGGCACATTTACTCCACCCACACACATACAATGTTTACAGAATGACCCTGAACCAGCTCTGAGGTGAGAGGAGCCTGACCAAATTGTTCCATTTTCCCAGCACACGCGTGCACGCGCGTGCACACACACACGCACGCACACACACACACACACGCACGCACACACACACACGCATGCACACACACACACGCATGCACACACGCACACACACGCACGCACGCACGCGCACGCACGCACGGTGCACGCGCACGCACACACACACGCACGCACACACACACGCACGCACACACACACACACGCACGCACACACACGCATGCACACACACACACGCACGCACGCACGCACGCGCACGCACGCACGCACACACACACACACACACACACACTTCTAGATCCTTCAACCTTAAGAGCCTAATGCATCTTTCTTGTCTCTTATTATGTATCCCATTAAAGTGGGATAAAGCTATTTTGGTAGAAAGAATGTGACTGATTCATATTTAAGTAAAATTAAATTTTATTAGTTGAAACACTAGATTTATAATACACACTGAATAAAACGGTAGCAAAATGTAATGCAATAACTCAGTTGGCTAGAGCATGGTATAACACCAAGGTCAAGGGTTCAGATCCCTGTCTGACCACACTAAGGAAAAAAATTAAAAAGAAGTCAAAATACCCACCCCGCCAAATGCCAACAGTTAAATGTGAATCCTACTCAGGAACATGGTAGTCTGGTTCTTTTGATTATCCTCTACCCCCAATAACTGTTCTTTTCAATTTCAAAAAGAATAATTTTTCATCAATCTTTACCATATAAAGGCTATTGCCATTCAATAAACACGGCCAACATTTCCCCTGCATTATTTTGACCACATTATCAAAATAATAATATATTCTTTTCCTCCCATAAAAGTCACAGTTGCCAAAGGTCTTGGCCTACTGTACTTCATGGTGCGTTAGTACAGCATTTCTTTCTTATAATCCACAGTGTCCATCTGTTAAAAGAAGTGCACTCAGAACACAATAAACATGATGACTGACATCACAGTTTTACATTATTCTCCGCCCCTTCCACAAGCTCTCTAATTCAAATGATATTTAATTTTAAAAGATAGTCCTCCTTTTTAGGTCCTTTCATTCTATTGATTCCTATTGATTATTTCACAGAGAACACCAAACGAAGCCTGTAAGGAAGGCATAATATTAGCAGTTTTCCAAGTTCAAGTTGAAAGTCAGAATAGGAAAGTAGCCCTTTAAAGAAACCTCAAATAACTGAATATTTTATAATCTGAAGATAATTGGCCATTTCCAAATATCCTTGCATGTTTGATATACATCATCATGAGTTTTAATATTATTTTGATTTATAGTTAGTCTGCAGTACGTTTTATCAAAGGTTAATCTTGGAGAACAAGAGACTGAATTATTCCTCATATGAATACTCATCTACATATTATGGTCCTTCAGTAGTAACCTCAACATGCACATTACACTTGTGTGGTTTCATGAAAGATATATATTTTGATGTTTACTGAGTTGTGAGGCCTGAATAAAGTCTCTGCCATGTATATTACATTTATATTTCTCTTTAGTATGGGATCTCTGATGTGAATTAATGCTTGAATTCATGAGGGGTTTACCATAGTCACTGCAATTGTACAGATTCTCCAAGAATAAATTCTCTGATGTTGTGCAAGGAGTAAATTTTGACTGAAGAGCTTGTCACATTCATGTCAAAGGTTACTGTCCATTACAAATTTTGTAATGACTTCTGAGGCTAAAGTTTGACTGAATACCTTGCTACACTAACTACATTTATAAGGTTTTGCTCCAGTATGGACTGCCTGATGGGTAATAAGCCTTGCATGCACACTAAAAGCTTTGCCACACTCATTACACTTGAAAGGTTTCTCTCCAGTATGAATTCTTCGATGATTTGCAAGATGTGAATTTTGAGTGAAGACCTTGCCACATTCATTACATTTATAAGGCTTTTTCCCAGTATGGATTAACTGATGTGTAGATAGGCTTGAAAGCACACTAAAGGCTTTGCCACACTCATTACATTTATAAGGTTTCTCACCAGTATGAATTCTACGATGATTTGCAAGATGTGAATTTAGAGAGAAGACCTTTCCACATTCATTGCATTTGTAAGGTTTTTCTCCTGTATGGATTATCTGATGAGCAGTTAGTGTTGAACGAATACTAAAGGCCTTGCCACACTCATTACACTTGTAAGGTTTCTCTCCAGTGTGAATTCTCCGATGACTCGCAAGGTTTGAGGGATGACTGAAGACCTTTCCACATTCATTACATTTGTAAGGTTTTTCTCCTGTATGGATTATCCGATGGGTAGTTAGTGTTGAACGAAGACTAAAGGCTTTGCCACACTCATTGCACTTGTAAGGTTTCTCTCCAGTATGAATTCTCCGATGACTTGCAAGATGTGAATTTTGACTGAAGACTTTGCCACATTCATTGCACTTGTAAGGTTTCTCTCCAGTATGAACTCTCTGATGACTTGCAAGGTATGATTTTTTAGTGAAGACCTTGCCACACTCATTACATTTGTAAGGTTTTTCTCCAGTATGAATTACCTGATGGGTAGTTAGTGTTGAACGAAGACTAAAGGCTTTGCCACACTCATTACACTTGTAAGGTTTCTCTCCACTGTGAATTCTCCGATGCCTTGCAAGGTGTGAATTTTGATTGAAGACTTTGCCACATTCATTACACTTGTAAGGTTTCTCTCCAGTGTGAATTCTCCGATGACTTGCAAGGCTTGAAGGGTGACTGAAGACCTTGCCACACTCATTACATTTGTAAGGTTTTTCTCCAGTATGAATTACCTGATGAGTAGTTAGGTTTGAACGAATACTAAAGGCTTTGCCACACTCATAACACTTGTAAGGTTTCTCTCCAGTATGAATTCTCCGATGAGTTGTAAGGTGTGAATTCTGAGTGAAGACTTTGCCACATTCATTGCATTTGTAAGGTTTTTCTCCAGTATGGATTACCTTATGGGCAGTTAAGTTTGAATGCACACTAAAAACTTTGCCACACTCATCACACCTGTAAGGTTTCTTTCCGGAATGAATTCTTTGATGACTTGCAAGTCTTGAAGGTTGACCAAAGACCTTGCCACATTCATTGCATTTATAAAATTTGCCACAACTGTTTGCTTTTTGTCTTTGTGTGAGTAATAAAGAATAGATAAAATTATTTCCATATTTTTTAGAAATGTGAGTTTTCACATTAGAAGAAATTTGCTGAAGTGGTGAAAGTGAGGAATTATTGTTGGCAGACTTCTCAACTTCATTACATTCATAAATTTCCCCTTCAGACTCAAACAGCTGCAGTTTTGGGAGCTGTGCCTGAAAGCTAAATCCAAGCCAACTTTTATTAAGCCTGTTTTCTGCATCTATTCTATCATGTCGAACTCTTGTACCAGTGAATTTTTCATTCTGGATCACAGGCATTCCTTTATAACTTCTTTCATCATCTCTCCACTCACACAAAAAGTCATGTATATTTTTCTGTTCTTCCCTGAAGCAAAAATCTTCAATGTCACAGCTTTCATATCTTTCCACCATCACTGTGTGAAATACTTCTCCTCTATTTCTGTTCCCTTTTGGTGGTAATTCCTTGGTTACACATTTAGAAGAAATATCTACAGGACATAAAAACCATAGGTTTCCTGTTAATTACAGTATGTTAGCAAATATTTTGCAATGAAAAACATGACATTACACCAAAATGTTATTTGACAAAACAGTATAAAAAGACTTGAGGTCAAAGCTAATGCTACTGTACAATATGTTTAAGTACATATATAGTTGTTAGTATGGATGAATGAAAATTATTGTGCACTATCCAAAATTAATCAATTTGACTGCATAAATATCACCAAGAGAACATAAGTCACCTTATGGAGAAAATAAGTAAATGATCCACAATAAGGAATGACTTGTACTGAAAGGCATTGTGTATGGCAGCAAAGTGCAGACACATTTCCTGGTAACGGTGTGGAGACCCACGGAGGAAGTCATCAGCAACATAAGCAGCAAATAGAGCCAGAGAACAACTGGACAGCACCAGGAGATGGGTTCACAAGGAGCAGGTGAACGTTAAAGGAAATTAAGATGCACAGAAAGACAGGAAAAAAGTCCTCATGTATTAACTCTAGAATAAAATTTCCAGAATTTCAGACATTATACAATAAATGTAGGTATTATCAAAAACATTGCAGAAAGAGTGCACGAAATGCAAGAAATAAACTAAATTTCTTATAAAACACAATGAGATAAATTAATTTAGTATACCAAGATGGACATGAAGAAAGTAAACAGGGAGATTAATTATGAGAATATAGCATATCTTCCAAGACATAAAAACTCAGTGAAATTTAAACAAAACCCAGTAACTTAAGTTTACAAAACTGAAAACATACTATAGAAAAAAAAATGGGTCTTACAAAACAAATGAAGGCAAGCCAATTCAATGATATTTCTAGGATACAGATAGTATTTTTTTTTTTTTTGTCCTTTTTGAGACCGGCCGCACCGTGCTCAGCCAGTGAGCGCTGTGAGCGCACAGGTCATCCCTATATAGGATCCGAACCCGCGGCGGGAGTGCTGCTGTGCTCCCAGCACCGCACTCTCCCGAGTGCGCCATGGGCTCAGCCCCAGATAGTATTTTAATAAAACAAAAAAGTATATCTTCAAGATACCAAAATTCCCATATTAGACTGTAATAAATGTAATTGAAGAATGTATATATATATATATATATATATATAT